ATCTTGCCTGAAAACGGTAGCCATCTTGCACTTACTAAAACACCAGAGGGCTTGTGGTTTATATATGTACTCAGGGTATTTTTAAATGTATCATCCCTACCTCTCCTGAATTATGTGTAAGTGCCTATATTATACCACAATGATACTTATATGGAAAGAACCCACACTTTTTGCTAGCACCACCAAAACGTGCTAGAAGAGCCCCGCTACTAATTCCCATAATAGCCACCATTGAGATATTAGGATCTACTGCTGTAGAGGCAAGGGCATTCATCCACAGAGAGAACAGTCTTAGACAACTTTCACAGACTTTCCCTTGCTGAAGTAGCCCTGCAAAATAGAAGGGGGCTCGACCTCCTTTTCCTTCAGCAAGGTGGGCTATGTGCCACATTAGGAGAAGAGTGTTGTTTTTATGCTAATTATTCAGGAATAATTAGAGAGACTATCAAAATGCTCACCAAAAGATTGAAGGAAAGAGAACAAGCTGAAGAAAACTCTAGTTGGTATGCTTCAATGTTTAAGACTTCCCCTTGGCTAACCACACTAATATCTGCTAATAGAATCCTTGCCTTTATCAAAAAAAGTAGTTAAACTAATGGTACTCTCCCAACCCTATACGATTCTTTCCGAAGACGAGGAAGAGTCAAGGATTTGACTCACTTACAAGGAAATGGGGGAATGTTGAAACCAGAAAAATAGAGGTTAAAATAGGGACTGCCTTAAAGAGATTTGGCCTGGAGGCAGAAACCACAAGGAAATTAAGAAAGAACACAGGGAGTGGAGAAGGCGGAACTACAAAACCAGTGGGGCTGAACAAGTAGAGGACCACCTGTTCAAGTGTCTAGATTAAAATTTTTCCATTACTCAAAACCCAGAAAGCTGAAGTCATGCTCGCACCAACCAAGTAGCCAGTTAGCTAACGGCCACATTTGCTTCTATACAATGCTTGCTTGCTCGCGTCTATAAAAAGACTTAGCTATAAGCGCTTAACGCGGCTCTCCTTTGCAGCTCTTACGAGCACCGTGTCTCTGGACACTCTGAGGGTCTGCCCCTGCGCAGGTTAAAACTTTGGCCAATAAAATAACATCTCTGAATCCTGAAAGTTTCTGACAATTTGTCTCTCGCGTTGGTGGATGCAACACTGAACAATTAAGGAAACTCCAAGCTTCCTTCTACAGTCTCAAGCTGAGTTCACTTCCAGAGCATTTTCAGAGGCCAGCAGACGTTCTTTTGAGGGGGAACTCCCCCTTCCAACCAGGCCTCACAGGGGTCTCCCCCATCAAATCCAGATGCTTACAGACCTCGTTACCAAGTCACGGACCCCGTGAGAAGCTGGCCAGCATGACTGAGAGTCAACGGTAAGGTGAGAGATTCCTCCAGCGACTTCAGATGTTGGAATTTTAACACATATTGGAATACATAATGACTGTGTGGACATAGTTGACAAAATAAAATACAGAGTTTAAATCATGAGCAAAGAATAAAAGACTTAAAATGACACAGCGATTTCATCTCTTGCTTTTAAGAAAAAGGACAGTCAGAGCATTTTTCTTGCATTTGCTGTTTTCCAGTATCTATAACTCAAAACAATCAATATGGCAAAGTGGCTTATTTTGGGGTGGCGTGCTCTAAATTCCTTCAGTTATAAACTCGTTGATGATGTAAACACCAGATCCCAGAGGGCAGTTCCCTCTGCAGAGGCTGAGATCAAAGTGCCCAAAGGCTTGATTTCAGCTTGCCCAAGTGGTAATTCACCAGGATTTGTATTAATACATTATTCTTTATAGTGCCAAATGAAAAACACCATGCTAACAAAAGGTCACTGCTCAAATAAAAACCAAGCCAGACGCTGTACTCTTGGATGCGTCCCTCATGCCAGACCCCAGGCACAGCGTTTTCAGCTCGCCCTCGGATCAGGCACTGCCGGCACTCGCCTCCCGGACCGCCCCGCCCCCTAGCCCCACCCCGCGCGGAGCATGCTGGGGCTGGACAGCCTCACCTACCTCGCCAGGTCTGTCCTCAGCCTGAGCTGTGGGTGTGGAGCTGGCTGGAAGGAGGTGGGAGTTAGTGGGCAGGTTGTCCTGGCAACGGACATATCAGGCAGCGGGTGACCGGGCACGCGCTGGTCCGTTAGGCTCGCGCCAGTGACCACAGCGGCCACTGTGCCCAAGACCTCTGAGGGTCCCATTGCCAGGCGGCCCCCGAAGCTGAAGGGAAGGGGTGGAAAAACCTCCTGGGAGTGGAGAGCATAGACAGTGCTGGGGCCGCTGAGGTGGAAAGGGAAGGGTCTGGGTGGGGGTGGGGGGAGTCTCAGACTGTTTGGGATCCTGGGCAGAAGCCAAGGGTCGGAGACTCAGGCTGTGCCCACCCGGCCGGGGAAAGAAGCACCTCCAAGTCCTCGGCGGAGTCCAGAGTCTCTGTCGAGTGGAAGGAACTGTGCAGAGCCCCAGAGGGGGAGCAGGGGAAGGGAGGCCAGGAAAAGATGAAGAAAAGAGGGATGAACCCAAAGAAAAAGTGAAGAAAGGGGAGATGGAAGAGAGAGCCGGGACAAAGCTGAGTCTATGGCATCATTCCCCAGCCTTACAAACCAGATCACTGAGCAAATCATGACCCGTTTTAGGGAAGTCAGTATGTTTTATGTACAAGATAGGGAAGGGGGCATAAAGAGGGAAAGGAACAAAAGCTCTTTGGAGGAGAACAGCTATTTGACCTGAATCGAGAGCGCTGAGAGGCTGCTTTTGCTTGTACTTGGAAGTTCCCCCCAGAGCTCTGCTCCTTCTGGGAGCACTCTGAGACTCACCCTCAGGGGAAGGAGGGGAAGGGGGTCAGAAGGACGTGGCCATGCCAGGAGGGAATGTCAGTGGGAGCTGAGGGAGAGGATACCACAGTGGGGGCCTAGCTGGCAGAGAACTAGACCCTGCTTTTAAGAGAAGTGTGTGTCATAGGCACACCATTTCCGTTTCAGGGCTCTGGGTGTGGAGGACCACGTGTGAGACGAGGGGGTGTGGAGAAGACCCCTCTCAGTAATCCTTGTCAATTGGAAGACTTCCTGTGGGACCCACTTCAGGGGCTTGCCCACCCCCCCATCTTGTTCATGCTTTATTCATCCTTTGCTGCAGGGCAACTTAGGGTCTCAACCCACATTCCTCGACAGGAGTTTGGTGGTCTTCCCCTCAGATGCAAGGCAAAAGGTCCCTGGGCCTTTAGGGGCCACTAATGCTGATGGGGAGGTTCTTGAGCTCCCAAAGTTTTCCGGGGCTGTTTTGTCCTCCAGCCCCAGAGGGACCGGGGCTGTTTTGTCCTGTAAGCACTGCTCCACCCCTTTCTGAGTGTGTTAATGACAATTAGTGAGGCACAAAATGGTTCAAAGGGATATGGGGCCCTCAGATGCAGGGACATGTTACCAGAAAGCCCAATCCAGACGGCTTGGGGAGTCCTTCGGGGAAAGACGGGGCTGGAGCCAACCCGTTCAGGCCACGGCCTAGTACTGCCATATTCTCCTCGCTGCCCCATTTGCCTAGAGAGCCAGGTCAGCTTGATTGGCTCCCAGTGTGTTTGCCCACATTCTCTTTGGCCCTGCTCTGAGTCCAGAGACCTTCATTTGAAACCTGGGTCTGTCACTTACTAGCTGAATGACCTTGGACAAGTCATTTCAGCTTTCCTGCTTAAGCAGAACAAAGATGGTCTGTGAATGAAACTGTATAAAAACCAAGGCATTTCTAGCTCCAAGGGAAGTGGCTGCTGTGGGGAAAGGAGCCCTGGCTGGGAAACTGATACAGTTACTTGGCCCCCAACCGGAATGGCCCTGGGACAAGGCACTGTGGGTATCTTGACCTTGTCAGTTGCCTTGACTTCATCTCTTATGGTTTGCTATCACCCTCAACACTGTCACCCCTTTCAGCCTTGGGATTGGCCTTGGCCTCAGTTTCCTCGTGGGTGCGCTGGGGACAATGGTTCCTGTAGGAATCAATAAGCTTGGGATAAGGACGCTGTTAGGTTAGATTCCGGTTGAAATGCATGAAGGGGGCATTTGGGTCTAGAGAGCAGCCGATGGCACGGCCTGAGAGCAGAGCCATGGAGGACGTGGGACCCGTCAATACACGATAAGAGACTGACACACGAGAACCGGGGGTGCTGAGTCTCCAGTGAAGAGTCCATTGGAAAAAGGGGCCAAACGGGAGACCAGGCCACTGCCAACACACTGGAAAGGAGCAATTCTTTCTTTAAAAATATCAATTATTTTGAGGAAAAAAATGATGAACTAAAAAAAAAACCACAGAACGATCACAGACTCAAGAACAGTATCTCGACTTTCTCTTTTTAAAGCACGTTTTGCTTAATTGCTAGATATAACTTCACCTTTCAAAATGACCTCCCCCCATATTTTTTGACTGAAGACTCTTTGATTATTAGTTTTTACGTGACCATGATGTTGTAACATTTCCCACAGAGATAATACTCTGTCAGCTTTCCTCTGTCCGTAAGCCACTTACGCACCACAACGACTATAATTAACTAGAGGCAGGAGTGACTTAAAAGCACACAAACGTGTCCTGCTCGACCCATACATTCCCGACCCCCCAGGTTTGCGTTCCCCCTTAAGCCACAGACAAAATGCCCACGGCTACTCCCACAGGAGATGTGTGACAGACAGAACTTTCAATGGAAAGAGACTGTGGGCCTCAGCCGACTTGTGAAAACACATTCTGCACATTTTTCAGAAGCCCCTGGCAACTGAAGGCTTTGCTCGGGCCCGGCCCGGAACAGGCAGAGGCCCACTGCTCAGTCTCCGCCGACCTCAGTGTAAAGATGCTGCTACGTAACTGCAGCTGCGCCAGGCTCAGGGGCAGCCCCCGGAGACTCAAGGGAGGATAGCCAAGCCTGTGAACAATACGGGGACTGGTTGACTGCCTCCCCCAGCCCACCTGCCTCCCTGCTTCCCCTCAAACCTGCAGAGCAGGTGACCTCAGAGCACTGGAGTCCCTGAGATTTGTGCTCACCCGAAAAACCTCTGCTCTGGACAGGAAGAGGATCCTTGGCCCTGAGCAGATTTCTCCCTATTGAGCCCACTCTGCCCTCTCTTGCACACACACTGGTCAAACTGACCTTTGAACCACAGGTGCACTTCCTGAAAGGGCAAGGGGTGGGAGCCAGAAATGCTGATTCACGTCCCAGACAGGGAACCCCGTGCCAGCTCCCCTTTCCCTGCCTGCCCTGTACTAGGACAGTTGAAAACTCGTCCACAAGCATCAAAGATACACGTCACTGGGGGAGAGAGAGAGTGCAGCAGAACGGGAAGAAAGGGGGCCACAGTTGGGAAGAGAGGCCAGTGGGCGACGGTGGCTGTCTTCCTGCTTCTGTGCCTGAGGCTGGTACTGCCGTTTAACCTGATGCTCGACTTTGAGGGGAGCTTCCTCCTTTACCTCTCTGGGCCTCTGCTTCCCCTTTCAAGTAGGGCTGCTGATGTCTGTCTGGGTGGCCAGTGACGTGGGCTGTGAAAGAATTCACAAAGAGAGGAAAATGCAGAGTCAAGTTCGTCTTCTTGCTCCAGGAGAGGAAAGGCGCTGGTTGCGAAGACCATGAGCTTTGAACTGAGCTATAAAGGGTGAGGGGATGCAGCCGGGGGTTGTAATGAGGATGCCTCAGTCAGTTTTTTGGGGGCTTCAGTTTGTCCCAATGTTATCTTCAGGTACAGGGCCCAGTCGCCAGGACCTTGCACCTTCTGTTTGGTGATTTTCCAGGAAATCGGTGTCTTTCGGGTACTTTCAGCAATCTTCCAGTCCTGATAATCGAGGCTCCAAAAAACAACAGTTAATTATGGCTGACAAGGTCAAGAAAAGGGTGGCTAGCTCTGGTAAACAGGGTCTGAAAGAGGCTTTTTGTCCTTTTAATTCCTACCTCATGGGGTAGGTGTGAGGATAGCACGAGGTAATGTCCAGGGAAATGGCTTGGGGGACTGGGGAAGGTCACTCACAAAGGACCCCCTCGTAATTCCTTTGGCCAAACGGCAAAAGTAGAGTCAGAGGTCCTGGCCCCAGGCCTGGCCTGGCCTGTTTGGGAAAACTGCCCTGGCCTTTACTCAAAGCTGACCCTGCCTCAGGTGGGGGTGGACAGAGAAGAGAATGATGGCCCAGACTCCAAACACACCCTGGGAGGCTGACCCAAGGCAGGGTCCGCTGGAACCCTGTTCCATCACGTTCAGCGGGGCAGGGGGCGACTTCGGCAATCCTGCTCCTCTCTCTCGGAGCACGCCGGTGTCACTCCTGCCTTCTCACCAATGGGCATCACCAGCCCTGGGGGCAGCTTGGTTGTTGGGTGTCATTTGTGATACCTGCCAGTACGTTTGGAACCTCGTCATTTCCCTCCTGTGTCCAGTGCTGAGCTCTGCCCAGTGACACAGAGGCCAAGCCTGGGCTCTGCCCGGGGAGCCGCACCACAGACCGCACCACAGACCTCCTCACTCGTGTCTGCGTGTCCTGCGTGGGGCACGCGCCCTAGGCAGTGCCAGGGAGCAGCAGCTGTGTGCCCCTGGGCCTCAGGGCACTGACTGTCCTCCCCTGGGTTTGCACCTGGGCTGGGGTGGCATTTATTTCTGTAACATAGGTCCTGGTGGGGAGAGATGCGCCTTCCTGATTGCCTTCACCACACAGAGGGCTAGCTGTTTTTATTAGATTCCAGTGCCTTTTCTCCTTTTATTTTCTCTTTGCTTCCTGGCCCAAACATTTACTTTTTTCTTTTTTTCACTCATCCCTCTCGATTTTGCCTCTTGGGGTCTCTCATGGCAAGAGAGAGAAAAAACAGTCAATTCTAGGCTCTTCACAAACATGCACCATTGAAACAGTCACGTGGCTCCGCCGCAGAGAGACCGGCCACGGGCCACTGTACTTCTGGCCAGTTCCCCCGTGGCGCCTGGTCCAGCTCGCCTCCACCCGAGCTCAGCTGACCCTTCTCGAGACCTAATCCATATGTCTTAACACATACAGCCTCAGGGCCCAGGCAGTCCCAGGACCGCCCCCCACACACACAGTAACCATGCTGTCTAACCCCAAACCATCTCTGTATTTGACACTGACCCTCATTCTTAAATTCTGTCCTAGAGCCTCTGAGAGCTGCCAGGCTCATGGGATGGCTTCTGGTTCTGAGTCCCTGGCTGCAGCGTCGAAGGGCCAGCCCCTCAAGAGTGTTCTGGGTCGCCTGGCTCCCTGGGGGGTGGCCCTGCCTCTTCCTCAAAGCTTGCCCTTTCCTCCCAGCGGGAGCTCGCCTGCACCCTGAGTCGGTCTGTGCAGCCTGGACCCTCCAAGCCTGTCTCCCACCCCTCAACGTTCTCCTAAGGACATTCCTCTTCCACAGCCGGCCGCTCTCATTTTCCACAGCTGCTGCTCTAAGAGTGAGACCGTTGTGTGTTCCTCAAACCATTCCAGTTCCTCCTGGACCTCCCAAGTCGGGAGACCTCCCGACTCCCTGGGACAGATGGGTCCCAGCCCAAGCTTTCACATGGCCTTGCTAGCTTTGGGGTGTGTGGTGGTTTCATCAAGTTGTTTTTCTGTCTCATCCCGAGAAAATGGCACATTGTCTTAATGGCCCTGATTCCTTTGAATGCTGCCCATAACAAACTACCGGTCTTTCATGGAAGAGGCTTCAGTCTCCCAACTCAGGGGACTAACTCTGGGGAGCCTAGGAGGTACTTCCAGGGCCAAGAGGGATCCGTCACAGCCCCTACTCCGGCAGGCAGGAACTTACACGTCACTACCTCCTGGTGGTGGCCCAAGACTCCCACCCAGGTGCACTCCAGCCCCTCCCTGTCTTTGCAGTCGAAAGTGCCTACATGCGATCAGGCTGAGAACGCCCCCCCGCCCCCACCCTCCCTCAGAAGACTCGAGCCATCTGGAGCTGCATCCACCCCACCATCTCTGTCAGAGACAGGCCAAGGCTCACACCAGACCTTTCACTGCGCACCAAACCCAGCAGCCAGGCCTTGCTGAGGCCTCGCCCAACCAGGAGCACAGCGGTGAGCTTGTAACCACCCGCAAAGCACTGCCTGAGCTGCCGAGGTCAAACCCCCACATAGACCCTGCTTCATGCAGCAGGATGGAGCCTGTCACCGGGGCCACTAGTTAAAAGCCAACCACACAACCATAAGCATCAGCTCACAGCACCAAAGCCTCTTGGGGCACCCCCAAAGTTCCCAGGAAGTCCCTGTGTGCACACCAGCCTCTCCAAAGCCTTCACAGGGGTCATGGGTGTGGACTGCACACTTCAAGCCAGTGTGCAAGCCATGGGTTTGAAGGGGCCCAAACAGAACACTGCTTTTTTCCAGGTCCAGTCTTGGGGCCTCCGCCATAGAGTTGGCACAAGTCATGGCACCTGCCGGGGGCAGGCAGGAGCACGTGGCAGAGCAGGCCTGGCAGGGGGAGGGGGAAGGCGGGGCAGCTCGGGGTGGGGGTGTGGGGGTGAGAGCTCCTCCAGGGATGGAAGCAGCTCATGGGAAAACAGGAGATAAGGGTGAAGGGCCCCCCAACCCCCCGAAGGGCACCAGTGGCCAGAAACTCAGGGAGGCTGGGTGTGGGCTGGGGTGGAGTGGGGCGATTCCTTAGAGGGATGGGGAGTCAGGCAGCACCTCTGTACAGCAAGCTAGTGGTGGTCTTCCCTTTGTCCTGCCTGTGCATGTAATCATTTGTGTGAATGATGATTCTGTCTGAAGCAAGATTTGGACGCAAGACTCAAACCGGGGGAGCTCCTTGCATTAGTCTTGAATGCACAAAGGAGACATCTGTCCGTCGTTTGTCCCCCTTTGCTTCCCAAGGCTGGAACTGGGCGTCCAGAAGCCTGGTCCAGTTATTCACTGTAGTTTGTGGGGAGTCCACCTTTCCCACTAGCTGTCTCGGGGTTTGTTGAAGTAGTGTAAAGGTCACCTGCATGAAGTTCACCACTCCTTTTCCATTTTGTTCTTGCCACATGCAGGGTCGATTTCTCTGTAGAAACTCCTTCCATTGTTGCCTCTGCCCTTGCAACAACTAAGGATGATGCTTGGGTCATCGGCCGCTGTACCAATTCTAGCAGCAGTGCCGGAGGCCTCTCGTACACCGGCGCCGTCGGTGTGTGTGCAGGCTGCGGGCACACTGGTTCGGGGACTCGGCACTGTGCAGTGATTTGTACACCTTGTGTTGTGCCTTCTGATTCCAGAACGTTGCATCTTTTGCTCCACATTTTACGCTTGTGAGATTCATCCACGGTGATATGAGCACATGTAGCGTGTTCATGTCACTGCTGTGTAGCATTCCATGACATGAACGAACCACAATTTATCTATCCATTCTATTCTTGATGGCCATGTGACTGTTTCCACCTAGGAGTTTCTTTAGGGTACATGCCCAGGAGCGGTTTTGTGGGCCTGTTAATTGTAGCCAACTCGCTGGGTGGTGGCGGCATTCTGCTTTAACAGCACTTCCCTGATTTTTACTGAGGTAGAACACCTCTTCCATTTGGATATTCCTTTTTGTGAAGTGGCTTCTCCAGTCCTTTGCTAATTTCTTATTGGGTTGTCTACCAATTTATAGGAGGTTTGGGTTTTTTAAAAAATATGTTCTGGATGTCAGCCCTTTGCCAATAATGTGAGTTGCCTGTCACTCAGCACGTCTCGCCTGTCTTTTCATGGTGTTCAACTAACAGACGGTCGGATGTGTCCAGCTCTTTCTTGTTTGTATCTCATTGAAGAAAATGTTAAGCTGATAATGCTCTTACATGGTCTTTTAAGATCTTTTTAAAGATTTTATTTTAGAGGGGAGAGGAAAGAGAGGGAGAGAAACATCGATTGGCTGCTTCTCACACTTCCCCAGCTGGGGACCCGACCGGGAATGGAGGCTTGTGTCCTGACTGGGAATCGAACTGGAAACCTCTCAGGTCGCAGGCTGGCACTCAATTCATGGAGCCACACCAGCCAGGGCTGATCTTTTAAAATCTTTATGATCTTGTCTTTATGGCTTGAATTCCTGATTGTTTTAAGGGTAGGAGTCCAGTCTGATATTGCCCCCAAGTGGAGGCCAGCTGTCCAGCATTCCCTGAACGACCAGGGCTCTGTCTTCATGTAAATGTCGAGGCTGCACCAC